CCCCAAAACCCCAAAACCCCAAAACCCCAAAACCCCTATTAACTCAAAATTAATGAAATAATATTATTCAAATGAGCAAGAATGTGCTGAGCCAAGGCCCTCGCAGTTTTAAGGAGGTTCAAGAATTCTTAAAACATCTCTTGGCTCTTAATAAGTCAGCTATGATGAAACTAAAGTACCAGAAATATCGTAGCTGACATGAGATCTTACAAAATGCTAGAGATTTAGTAACTGTTCTAGCTAGGAATAAAGCCACTGCTCAGTCACCAAAGTTTTGATCTGTTGCGTCTATTACTTATAATAATCTTGGTTGATATTACCAGAAGAAGAATCAGAGTAAGTCTATGGCTACTTATTAAACTAATATTTGATTGTAGATTCACAGTCAATTAAGTATTACCAAAAGTCATTGACCTATACGAAGAATATTGAAGGTGATGAAGTCAATCTTGCTAGCACTTATCTCAATATCTGTTCACTATTTTCCCAAATGGGGGATCATGAAGAAGCTTATAGGCACGGAGAAGTAGCACTGAAGCTTCTTCCTATTGCTTACAAGAAGCATAAGGAGCAGACGGACTCTAACCAGCTTCAAGAGAGCACTGAAAGGTAATTTTTAGTTGAAATTTTTATTATGAATGCAATTTAACGTCGCTGACCAACAATTTAGACCCAATGATTCTGGACTCGACAACCTCCTGATGACCATCGTGATTGCTTACTACAATGTTGCCACTGAATGAGAGTTCTTGGGGAACAACCAAGAAGCTCTCAAGAACTTTATCAGAGGATATGAGTGGGGAAGCAAAACTTTTGGTAAAGATGATGATTTAGTCAAGAAGATCAGAAAGTGTATTTTTCAAATCAAGAAAGTCCTCTATAAGTAAATTTGAGATTATAATAGGTTTAGGTCTGGTGAGAGAGGACTTCCATCTACTTCTAGCTCAAAATTCAGCCTCATGAGTAAGCAATCTGTTGGTTCTATATTAAGAAAGAGCATGAAAAAGTAAGATAGTTTTTGAGATTTTAGCTCTAATGTGTTGAAGAAGATAAATCCAAGATCTTTTTCTGAGAAAACAAATGCAGATAACAGTATTAAAAGGAGCCAAGGAGGTAATGATGTATCAAGCTTATACAATTCTTCTGAAATCACAGATATCTTTACTGCTCATAGTGCAAAGGTAACAGCTAATTATAATCCAACACAGAACTCTTCAGTTTCCCAGAAGTTGAGAAACTCTCATATTTATCAGAGAAGTCCTGAGGTATGCTATCTCTTTATCCATAGATTAATCAAACCAATTGTTACCTCCAAGATGAGAGGACAAGCTCTAGGTCTAAGATTGGTAAAAAGATTCAGAAAGGAATCAGGCCATTCCAACCAAATAAGCAGCTTAGGGTTGCCTCTCTGAATGATAAAGAGAAGGGACGAAATAAAGTATTTCCAATCAAGCTATAATATAGAGCAATGCTAGTGGTGGTCAAGAGCAGGCATATCTCCCTGCTGTTCCTATTATCCCAATGTACGGCACTAATCCCTTGAGTACAAGTATGAATCTGGAGAATAAATAAGCTGGAGATTCCAGGAACATCATCTGAAAGTGTGCGGAAAAGTATGAAAAATAGCTTCTTTTCACCGAAAACTAAATAAAGTCCCTTCTAAGTAAGTTTTAGCCTTGATGCTTTAGGCCAAAGATGAAGGGAAGCAAGAGAAAGTCCAACCGTTATGCTCCTACTAGACCTAATATCGAGGTCATAGTACATGCTCATGAGATGAATAGAAGTCTTGAGAGTATTCATGAAGAGAGTAAACAAGATTCTGGTATTAACTCAGCCACTCAGGAAAGATACCTCAAAACAAGACAGAGATACTCGAATAAGATTATTACGAAAAGAAAGACTCGGACTCAAAGCAAGATCTCTTTCTTTGAGACCAATTTTTATAATAGGAATATGAACATGAATCTGACTCAGGAAGGTATCCGTCGGAGGAGCCAGAAGAGAGGAATTGATAGTATTAAGTCACGCATCAATAATATTTCAAAGTAAATAGCCTTACGTACAATATATAGAGTTCGGAATACCCCTTTAAACAAAGAAATTTCAGGCTTTGATGTTGCGTCTTTTAATATAAAAACCACAGATAATCGGAATAGGAGAAGAGAGAGAATGAGTAATAGTATACATTAATATGTAGACTCCTCAGCTGATTCTATTGATCTAGTAGACCCAACAATTTCATTGCCTTCTCATGTCAGAACGACAAAAATCATACCAAAAATTAAGAAAAATGTTCAATAACGGCACCTCTTAAAGGGGTTTTGGGGTTTTGGGGTTTTGGGGTTTTGGGGTTTTGGGGTTTTGGGGTTTTGGGG